AATAATAATAATAATAATAATAATAATTATTATTATTATTATTATTATTATTATTATAGTCAAATGAGAGTGGATATATGATGATGGTGACATGTATGAATATTTGAGTTAAGATGCTCAAGTTGACATGAGTTGTGTTTGTTGACTGTGGAAGAGATGCACAGGGGTCTGTTTGTGGCCAACTGATACACTTTCTGTAGCATGTGGAGAAGGATGTTGTATTTGTTTTAAATTAAAAATTAAAAAAAATTAATAAAAAAAAGTATTATGAGTTTATTTCATGCTACATATATACAGGAATCCGATATATTAATGGTCAAGGCAAATTGGTGCTAGATAAGAGTCAGGACTTAGGACTCTTGTGGGAGTGTAGAAACTGATGATACCTTTGATCCTAATCTTGGACTCAGCCTGGACATCTCCTCCAGGAACTTAGTAGTGCCTATAAGATGCAACAACAATAATAACAATTGACTGAGATAATCTGTTACAATATTTCTTATGTTTTAGGAGAGGAAAATGCTCTGTCTCTTCTAAGCCATGATCCTAGATCCCGGAGAGGTATCTTAAGAAGGGCTGTCTTTTCAGAAGAGCAACGAAAATCTTTGGAGAAAATGTTTCAGAAACAGAAATATATCAGCAAAATAGACAGAAAAAATCTGGCCATCAATCTGGGTCTGAAGGAGTCACAGGTAAAGATACTGTAGATTTGGTGCAGTAACTTGCCCCCAGACAATGTTCCTCAAAGGTCTGGACTTCAACTCCTCAAATGGCTGTTTTGGTTGGAGAATGTTGATATTGGAATTCCACATATTTGGAGGGATGTCCAGGTTGGGAAAGGTTGTGGGAAAAATATTTATAATTTTATTTTCTTTAAGAGGAAAGGAAGAAAAGCAATATAAAATAACCAGGACAGATCACTTTCATGTACATTATGAGAACTTAGTTGTCAAATGTGGAAACTTCTCTATAAGGTATCAGAAAAAGAAAAGCCATGTTGTGTTTAGATTTGCTTTCAAAAATGATTGTATATGGAGGATGCCGGGGAAAATGGAGAATCTTAATGATTTAACCCAAACCTCTACTATAGCTGAGTGGCCATATATAAATTAGTCACTTGGCTTAGAAAAAATGCTCGGATGATCCAGTTGATTAAGTTAGGAATTTCAAAATAGTAGCTCAGATGGGTAAGTATGATCTTTAAGTAATACAAAAGTATTTCAACTTCTAAAGTTTGGTCGCAAATGAAAGAAGGGATATGGCTCCTCACTGCCCTCAATCCAGGACTCATAATTTGCAGACTCAGAAATATGTGCAATTCCTTACAAACATGCTTCCAAAATTGCCAACAAATTGTAATTTCTTTAGTTTAAGAAAGGTAAAATTATATTCTGGGGATCATTACATGAAATATGATCAATATAATTAGTTACATTTATAATTACATGAATCATATCTTTTGCCCTGCTGTGCCAATTTTAGGGGAGAATATGACCCCTATATGCTACTGAAAGCATTTTGATCTGCCCATGTTTAAAGCTACTATCTTAAATATGATTTTTTGTGTGTGTTTCACATTAAAATTTTTCATAGAACAGACTTCTAAAATTTGTTAGTATTACCCTAATTTCCAATTGGCATAAAGTTTACTTGGAACTACAGACTATCTATTTCCATCCTTGGTGTGACCATTTTTCTCTTACAAATTTGTTCCTTATTTGAGCCTCTATATTGCATTTTCCTAATCTCTTAACCTAGATGAAAGCTGGGCTATTTTATGCTAGGCAATTTTGGCTAGGGTAATAAAAGGAGAGGTCTTATTTTAATCATACTAAAAGGTTTCTTTTAGGCAGAATTACCTAAACTATCTAAAAGTCTTGTCCCTGTCTCACAGGTCAAGATCTGGTTTCAAAATCGAAGGATGAAATGGAGAAACTCCAAAGAAAAAGAAGTGGTCTCAAATCAGGGTCTGCCAGATGAAGGTCTTCAAGAGATGTATGTTTCCAGGTGTTTAAATTTTTCCTCCTCACCATGTCCAGTCTGGGAAATGTCTGAACAACAATCAAGTTCAAGGTGGCAGAATTTCCCAGAATGTGCCGGGAGACTGAGTGACAGAATTAGTCTGCGGCCGCACATAAAGCCAACTTTGTCTTCTGGCACATTGTATTTGTATCAAGAAAGAGGCACCATAGAGAAGGAACTCTCTCATAAGAACAGTGACAGTAAAAATGATGGCAAACCACTATTTGAAGTGAACTCAAACTAACCTTATGGAAGAAATGGATTAGATTATATATTTCATCACTGGTTAAAATAAAATGTAACACATTTATCGTGACCGAACTAATAGTTTAAGAAATAGTCAGTAATTAATCTTCCTTTATGTTCCTTCATCTGAAGTAATATCTTTAAATCCAGTGAGAGTGAACTACTGGTAAGTAAGTAAAATGTAAAACAATACAAATAGATTTGTTTTTTTTGCAGTTATGCAGATTAAATTAGCATTTCATTATATAGTTCTTAATAGAAATTATAGAAATGAGAACATACTGTATGACTTTAGGTCTGCATAATTTCTGTTTTTCAAAATTGGATTGAGGTTTGTGATATAGTAGACTTTAATATAAAAACAAAGAAATAAAATAGAGTTTGATGTACAGTTGCCTGGTACAGATTTCTGTATCTGGGCTTTCTAATCCTGATTTGGTGGAGATGTCAGAATTTGTCCTTAAGAGCAGGAATATGTACCTATAACCATGACAGGATTCCCATTCATTTTTGTTAGTATTGTAATCAAGAGGAGTAGCTAGGGATCAAAAGCATCTGGTGGATATGTGTTGCATTTACATCAGGGGCATCTGCAGGGCAAAAGGAAAATAACTTTATGAGAGCAAACATGCAAATATGCAAATTATGCAATCTAGGTCACTTGTGTGAGGATATCATGATGCTCATGATGTCGACATGTTTTATTTCTGATGGTTATAATTAATAATTTATGCAGGAATTCCCTGCAATGAAAGAAAGGAAAATTGTCTGATTTAAATTCCAGTTTTGTACCTGTTATCCAGATCAGAGCATGTTGAGTGACATAGTTTACTTATAAATAAATATGTTTTATATTAGTTTTCCTTTTGCTTTGAATTGACTGAGAACTGCACCAATTAAGACTGCAACTAAACCCCCCAAGATGGGCATTGAGAGACATTGGAAGCAGGTGGAAGAAGGTGAGAATCAACACACACACACAGACACACATACAAACACACACACACACACACACACACACACACACCAGGGGTGGGTTTCAGCCAGTTTGGAACGGTACGTGTGTACCAAATGGTCAAATTTCAGTGCCTTTGCGTACCCGTTCATCCGGTGGCACCGTACCAGAATGCTTGCTCTCCGTTCGCTCCCCCCGCCTGCCCGTTCACTGCTCGTTCGCCTCACCCATTTGATCGCTGCTCATTAACTTGCCCCACCCATTGCACCATGCTTGCCCTGCCCACCTTTCACTGATTGGCTGGCTTGCCAATTGCCCTGCCTCTGAGAGCCCTATTTAAACTGTGGCACAGACGGCCCACTTGCCTCTTTTCCTGTTTGGCTCTCACATCATCACTCGCTAGCTGATCAGATACTCACCTTGCTTGCAGGTAAGTAAACTAAGCAGGGATGGCAG